TGTATGCACTGGTAAGATCTCCCCGAGTCTTTTCTTCTCTAGGTTGAAAAGTCCCAGAATATTCTACCCTTTTAAATTCAATTCCTTTTTCAAATTTACATTGTTGTGACAGCAGCCAAAAAATAATAACATACAAAGGGAACATAATTAATTTCTAATATTGGTCAAATAGAGAATTCAAAAAAGAAAAGTTAAGACAGTTATTATTTGTACACATGAAAGATAGCACAACTAATGAAATAATGATTAATACTGAGCTTAAAAGAGAGAAGAGCAATAGGCACTGTTTTCAAGGACTTAAAAAAAAAAAAAAAAGACTTCTGAAAATGAGTAAAAGGCTTGTATATTTAACTATGTGTCTTCTAAAGCCCAATGCTTCCTTATAAATATAGTATGGAAGAACACACATAAATAACTTTTGGATCTCTTTTCTATTTCAGGATTTGTCCTTTGTGCGCTATGTTGTTAAGTACTCCCTTCCAGTGTGTTTGTAGGGAAGAAAAGCACCATACAGTGATTCTTTTAGGATTTTGTGTTATCACAGATGATCATATATTATCATAGATTACAAAGTCTTTTGTCAGTTTTACAACTTTTACAAAGATAACAGGAAGTGTTTAAATATTCATGTTTTGAAACAAAGGGAGAATATGGACTCATTTACCCAACCCTTAACATTGTGATTTATTTTATAAATTTATATTACAATAAATCACGTGGACTGGACTAGAAATGGGAATCAGCCTTCATGTGTTTTACATATTTCTCTCCTATTTTTAATTCTTTAAAGTCTTCTGCAAAGAAATATCAATGAATACAGGTTCACATAAAAAGTTCAGGTTGGTATGAAAGAACAGTATATGTGGTAATGCCCATGTTCCCCTAAGTCATTAGCAGGGTTTGAAGAAACAGCCATTATTTCCATTGAGACAAACTCTCCTGAGAAAAGCATACAGTGAACTCAGTGAGAGGATCATAATACACTCTTCTGCAAAATCAAGCCTTCGCACAAATAAGCATGATCTAAATTTGGAAAAACAATTGCATCATGTATTCACCTGTATATATGTGCATATTCATCCTCACATACAAATATCTGACATGAAAAATATGAAGTGGTCAAAGATTTATTAGAAATAATAAAGAAGGTAAAATGTTCCAAATGCCAGGCATGGAAATTTGTGAGAAATTTGCTTTTAAGTCTCTTTCTGATTGACCAAATCCCTCAACTTGTTATTCCTATTGCCTGAGGAATAATGAATATTCGATAAACAATACTTATACTTATTGAATAAATTGGGTAGGGAGCTGAAAATTTCATCTCTGAGTTGAAGAGAAAATATTTCTGTTTCCACAAACAGGTAAAAATTACTTTAAAATTCTGCTTTAAAAATCTGCTTATAAATTAGAAATATTTGGAGAAGTCCCTGGGAAAGAGACTGATGGGAAGAATGAATCATGTGATTCTTTTGTCTAATTGGCTTTAGAATAGAATTCTGTGACATCACATGAACATACATAGGGTAAAGACTGGAAGACAGACTGAAATAAAGAAACACAGCAGCCAGCAGCATCATATTAATCAGATTAATAGATTTTTTGTTTAATACAGCACTGAAGTATAACTGAGGAGTAACTGGAATTATAAAACACATAATTTGAATTCAAAAGGCTTATGTTTGTTTGTTATATATATATATATATTCTGTATTTAATAGTTAACTATTTTTAAATTGAGATTACACTGTGGTCTATTCACCTTTGCAGAGAAGGTAGGTCTTCTTTTTGTGCAACACAAAAGCTTACGGATTAAGTGAGGGGAAGCAGAACTTTGAATCAACTCTGTATTTCCAGCAGCCCAGCTAACACCAGAGAAAAGGAATAACTGACTACTGGAAACAGTGACCAAACACTTTCCATTACAGAAAAGGTGAAGGCTCTGATGTGACACACTTTTACAGTGCCCATCGCACATGATATACTGGAACAGCAATCTCATCCCAAATGCGCTGACTATTATTTATTTAGATATAGAATTAATACAGGTGTGCACTCCCTCCTACAGCCTCTCTATAAAACACAAGTACATGCATGCATATAGACACAGAATAAGGCAATAGTGAAGAAATCTCAATCCCTTTATCCCTTCCCTCCTGTGTAATGAAATAGATCTCCAGCTCTTGCTAAAAGCTCATTCGCAGTTCTCTCACATTCACATTTTTCTTCTTGGTAAAACAACAATCCATGCAGACCTCTCAAACATAAAAAAATCTTTCTTATCAGCAAGTAAAGTTCACATTACATTTCTGAAAAGTAGACTAAATTGAAGGTTTAAACATGACATATGGAAATGAGAAATCTGAAAGCTATCATTTTGGGAATACAAACAGACACAACAGGCATACATCAAGACTGGTTTTAAGATTGCATACTGGTAGGTGAAAGGAGCAGTTTAAAAACAATAATTCAGATTTCTTTCTTTGTGGAAAATAACAACTGGAATATTTCATGATTTACCATGATCTTTCCATCTTCTAATAAGTACATGCCTGTGACTCTATATACTTGTACTTGTGCACTTTTTTTTTTTTCACAGTGATTAAATGGACTGGAAAATTGTTGTCTAGAATTATTCTTCCTAAAAATCAGTATATCTGATTTTTATACCTGTAACCTGAATGCAACAGTACTAATTGTTAGGGGGGAAGACATGGTGGGGAAAGGGGATATACCTCTGAGTGAAGAAAGCATGCCTGAGAACACTATCACTCTAAGTAATGGCAGGGAAATACTTTCGAACTGTATCAATGCAATCAGCAAGAGCTCTAGAAATGCAATATGACCGATTGCCCAACTGAAAGGCTTCTACACCAATGCACACAGCATGGGAAACAAGCAAGAAGAATTAGAAACCACGGTTCAATGAGACAAATATGACCTGATTGCCATCATGGAAATGTGGTGGGATGGATCACATAACTGGAATATCAGAATAGGGAGCTATAAACTCTTCAGAAGGGATATACAGGGAAGGAAGGGAGGTGGTATTGCCCTCTACATTAGGGAAGTAATTGATTGTGACGAGTTGCCTTTGAGAAACAGCCATGGACAGGTTGAGAACTTATGGGTCAGAGTTAAAGACCGCAACAATAAACGACACCTTGTGGTTGGGGTCTACTACAGGCTGCCTGAGCAAGGGGAGCCTGTGGGTGAGGCATTGTACTGGGTCTGCATTCTTGCTTCAACTACAAGAAGTGTCACACTTGCATGCTCTCATCCTGATGGGGGACTTCAACCACCTGGATGTCTGTTGGGAAAACTACAGAGCAGGTTGTAAGCAATCCATAAGATTCCTAGAGTGCATTGAGGATAACTTCCTCGTCCAGGTATTAGACAAACCAACCAGAGGAGAAGCATTACTTGACCTGGCGCTCACCAGCATGGAAGAGCTCATTAAAGAGGTCAAGACTGGAGGTAGTCTGGGTTGCAGTAACCATGTCCTGGTTGAGTTTATAATCTTGAGGAATACAGGCCTGGCAAAGAGCAAAGTCAGGACCCTAAACTTCCAAAGAGCAAACTTCAAGCTATTTAAAGACCTAGTAGCTGAAATCCCCTGGAACACTATCTTCAGGGACAAAGGAGGTGAGCAAAGTTGGAGACACTTTAAGGATGTTTTCCTTAGAGAACAAGAACTCTCCATCCCCCAGCATAAAAAAGCAGGCTGGGAGGGCAGACAACCAGGATGGCTGAGTTTGACCTGCTGGTCAAACTGAAGTGCAAGAAGGAAATGCACGGGCAGTGGAAGCAGGGACACTTAGCCTGGGAAGTGTACAGAGATATGGTCTAGATGTGCAGCGATGGGATAAAGAAAGCCAAAGCACAGATGGAACTAAACTTGGCAAGGGGTGCTAAAGAATAACAGGAAGGAATTCTTTCCTCAGACCAGTACTGTTTAATATCTTCATCAATGACACAGACAGTGAGATCAAGTACACCCTCAGCAAGTCTGCAGATGACACCAAGCTGAGTGGTGCAGTCAATACACCAGAAAGAAGGGACGCCATCCAAATGGACCTGGAAAAGCTTGAGAAGTGGGCCTATGTGAACCTAATGAGGTTCAACAAGTCCAAGTGCAGTGTTCTGCACCTGGGTTAGGGCAATCCTGGACATGAGTACAGACTGTGAGAAGAACTGATTGAGACCAGCCCTGCAGAGAAGGACTTGGGGGTTTTGATGGATGAAAAGCTTGACATGAGCTGACAGTGTGCGCTTGCAGCCCAGAAGGCCAACTGCATCCTGGGCTTCATCACCAGAGGCATGGCCAGCAGGTTGAGGAATGTGATTGGCCCCCTGTGATTCTGCCCTTCTGAGGTCCCACTTGGAGTATTGTGTCCAGGTCTGGAGCCCCAAGCACAAGAAGGACATGGAGCTGTTAGAGTGGGTCCAGAGGAGGGACACAAAGATGATCAAGAGGCTGGAGCACCTTTCCTATGAAAATAAGCTGAGCAAGCTGGGGCTGTTCAGCCTACAGAAGAGAAGGCTCTGGAGTGACCTCATCACAGACTTTCAGTACTTAAAGGGGTCTCATAAAAGGGATGGAGAAGGACTCTTTACTCAGGTAAATAACAATAGGAAAAGGGGTAAAGGTTTCAAACTAAAAGAGATTTAGATTAGAGGTTAAAAGGAAATTCTTCACTCAGAGGGTGCTGAGGCACTGGAACAGATTACCCAGAGAGGTTATGGATGCCCCATCCCTGGAAGGTGTTTGAGACCAGGTTGGATGAGGCCCTGGGCAACCTGATTTAGTGGGTGACATCCCTGCCTATGGCAGGGGGGTTGGAACTAGCTGATCCTTGAGGTCTCCTCCAACTCAGGCCATTCTATGATTCCATGATTGTATGAATGGTAGCAGGCACTGTTCCTCTGAAAATACCTCTTATGAATGCCACACAGAAGCTGCTGCAGCACTCCTGTCCAGGTATACCACATGCAATACTTACGTGATGGTGTCAATCATGTCCAGTCCCATTTCAACACAGCAATGAGCATGATCCGTTTTGGGCTGGGTCAATCCTGATACGCAGTAATAACAGTCACCTAGGATTTTTATTCTTCTGCAATGGTTTTCCTTTAATAAAAACAGAATTGGAAAAGTTTTACTGTTTATATAAATGTTATAATATTTAAAGGAGAAAATATTCTCCAACAATATGCAGTCAATCAGGGAAACCTTTTGTGTTCATGTGAAATAATTTACAGTCCATGAAATCTGGGTTCCCTGTAAAGAACAGCTGACATATGCACATTTATTTATTTAATTTATTTTAAAATATATACATTTAAAATAGTGGTCAGCCCCACATTGCTTAACACACATAGGATAACATTGTTTAACATAGTTCTGAACAAAAATTATTCCGTTACCCTCGTGTTAGGTCAAGATTTGCAAGGACACTTCATTCTGTATGAATCCAAATGAAAGGACTGAAGTCAAAGAGCTACTGAATGTTAGGAAATGTTAGGAATGTTAGGAAAGAAATGTATTTTGAGAAGCTTTTGTTCAAATCCAGTTCCAGTTACTAGGAAAGACAATTTGAAATTTGAAAAAGAAAATTTGTAAAGGTACCTACATCTGCGCATTACCAATACATAAATCACAACTTAAAAACTTATGCACTCTCAGCATAAACATGATGTACCTGCACATCAGAAGAAGTCACTTTTCATTGCCATTGAATTTATCTACTGCTTGCATACAATTCAAGTTCTACAACCATAGAAATCGGGCTAAGCCTCTTCCATTTTGAAAAAGCAATGATAGGATATGATAATTACTACATCACTGTGAGTAGAAAGTTCATTCCTGAACAGAGAATGCATAACAAAGTGCCTTTTAACAAAGCCATGACTTTAACTAATAAAGTATGAAGAAACATGAGAAGATGATAGTATACCTTTCAGCTGGACTACGACAACTTCTAACCATTTAGGATATGGCATAAAAAAATAAATAATCTGACTAAAGAAATACAACTTACACTTTTGTCTTTAGTGACAAAAGGCTTGGAGGGGGAGGGGGTGTTGGTGGTGATTTTAAACTGGAAAAAATGGCCTATTTTCAAATGACATATATCCTCATTCAATCTTATGCCTACAAGAATCATAGCCTTCCTGATTTGACCACAGACTCCATTGCATTACCCATATTCCAGCTCAGAAGTGATGGTTATACATACAGTGATCCTGTCCTGTCTAACATGTCATGCATAGTATTCAGGGCTTATTATTACACACTCTTCCAGCTGCTGTCATTCCCAAGCCTGTATATGTTTCTGAATATTGAACAAGTATTATACTTTAAGATTTACCTCAGTTCAGGTACAGAAGAAGGCACGTTAACGCTTTGGGAAAATTGGTTTGCCTACTTCTTTTTATGTGCATATTAATTTAGCAGTAAATTCATATCTTCAATCAAAGAAACAAGTCATGTTTTTGGGTATGCCTAACTAGTAGAAAAAGCTTTTCTAAGAGAGGCTACTTAAAATGGCTTCTGCTGTACAACACAATTTAAAATATACTGTTATTTATCATTGCTCGTATATAATTTAATGAATGTGATCATAATTATTCTGGAAGCATTGTCACTGGGGCCTTAAAGTATCCCTGTATCCTCTAGCCACAAAATGTCTCATGAATCTTACTTGAAGTTTTAATAGGATATTTTGAGATCCCTGGTTAACTGGTATTATAAAAGTAAAAGAATTATTGATACAAAGTAATATGCAAACCTCGAAATCCATCCTGACACAAAACACACCTTCCAACTCAAGGTTTTTGGACAGAAACCACTAAGTTTTTTAATAGAAACCACTCATTTTAAGTAGAAACCACTAAATTATACTGCCAAAATAAGCCACTTTTAAAAAATTGTGGGCAAATCTTGAAGGAGTAGAGGGTACTCAATAGTTCAGGCTGAGACCATCTTTCCAAAATAAATGCAGTTTTGGCCCACAGTTTACAGTTCTCCATAAAGCTCTTTTCATCTTCAAATTTGGTATGCATGGTCTGTGGACAGGCAATGACTATTTGACCCAACCAAAAGATATTCAGAAAAGCCATTTCAGTAATCTGGGGTGGATAATATGTATGTGTTAATTGATCAATATTCACTCTGCTTCAGTGTCTATGTCCAAAATGGCTCATTTCAAATTACTTGTTTTTCTTAGAGAGTTTACTGTGCTATAGACCAGTACTTCACATTTTACAGTGGGATACAGGAAATTACTCTATTACTAGCAGACTGGTAGATAGTTTGAGAAAGGAAAAGACAGTACAGAGCTCAATCCATTTCCACTTTCTCATGTCACTTCATTACTCATGCAAATGAAAAATAAAAGAAAATAAAACTAAAGCATTTTCTAGAAACACATCAATTCTGATGGAAGATATATGGCTAAATCACCTGGTGTTTTTGAAAACACTACTCTGTTCCTTATCAGATGTTATCTCCACTTTTCTTATTTATCATCATCAATTAGTATACAGTAATCTCTAGCAAAATCACTTGTTTTCTTTTCCTCTCTATGTGAGGCAAAATTCCAGGAAGGAGATGCAGCTTTATAAGAGCAATCTTTATAAGCACTGATATGCAAATTAACAAAACAAACTCTTTTCCTCTCTTTGTTTTGTTTCCTCAGCACCTTCCAAAAAAAAAAAAGCCCTTGACTCAACAATATTTTTCACACTTGCAACAGTGACAAATTCAAGTGTGATAGGTATAAATTCTAGTTACAGATAATACAAGCAATGCCTGTTACAAACAGCTGATAATTTGGTTTTATGAACATGACAAAAAGCAGCAGAGATTACTAGCACAGCATTATCCAGGCAGCTTGCCCACCTGTTGTTCTTTACCAAGGTATTCCTGAGCAGATCTGCACAATTCCCCCTGGCACAACCGACATTCACAGTGTTTGTCAGAGTGAAGTAGAAGACCAGCATGGAAGGCAAAGGATCCTTCAAAGTTGCTAAGAGCTTTCTTTACACTTTTAGACAAGTACTGACATACAACAGTTTATGCTATCTGTCCATTACAAAGAAGAGGGTTTTGTAGTTGTTTTAGGTGTTTGTTTTTGTTTGTTTTGTTTTGTTTTAAATGTGTTTTGCAGAAAGAGTGATGTCACCATTTGTATCAGGTAGATAAAAGGCATCAAATTTTCAGTTCATATTAATCAGCATGGTATCATGCGTTTCAGGGGAAATGCATTAATTTACACCAGCTGTCCCTCTAATCCTCAAGGGCCCAAGCCTAATTCAATGACACAGGCCAAATGTATCAGTTACAGTCCTTCCTTAGTGAAATAACTATTGGGGGAGGAGGGCAAAACAAAAAACGCACCTCTAAAACTCCCCAAAGATGTAAAGTGGCAATAAATTGCATTTAGTATTTATCTCTTCATAAATCTAGAACTTCATTCTGCTTCCAAAGAGATCAATGAAACATACGGAAATTTGATTAAGAACAAGACAGAAGTAACCCCTGTTAGCACTGTAACTTGTTTTCAGTGTATTTATATGGACAGCATATTTAAAATTTATAGCACTCTAGGCCAAAGTGCTGTTAATCTCAATAGAAATTTGGCTTAAGAAGCTTTGAATCACTCTAGAAATTAACATAAATTTATCTATATTACAGATGTCTATAAAGACACTAGAGAGACTTGCAGAAAGATTAGTATTTTCTACAACATCCTCAAAAGCTGGAATCAAGTCTCTATTCAATTTTATTTTACTTTCTTATTAGATTGGAACAGAAGTAGGAAAAAAAAACACATAATATTTCAGTTAACATGCTGCACATATATATCATGCAGCACAAATATAGGCATTCGTACATATGTGCATGTATACATTCACAGACACACAGGTTAAAAATTTACCTATATCCCAAACACACATACAACATATACAATAATGCAAATTAGAATATTGATCTTGTGAACTATTAATATACTAATACATGTAAATGTGGTTCAACCTGAAAGTCTAATTGGGCAAGATGCAAGTTTTGAGTCCTCTCTTTCAAAGCATTTGAGCCTAGCCTGGCACAAAATATCTGGGTGTTGATACCTGTTCCCTTTGTACCTGTATCCCTGTATCCCCATTGATAATCCACTCCTTCCTTTGCACAGAGGCATAGTACATGACTTACTGTTCCAAGTGCCTTTGGAAGGGCATGTACAGCGTTATGCTGTTAAAGAAATGGCCACCCTCCTTCAGGAACTTAGAAGAAAAGGCAGTGAATTGGATAGGGTTAGTCAGAAGGCTTTAGGGTGCAACTGAACAATATTATACCAAGTTACTAATTTCAGTTAATGGTGAGAATGAGACATCCTTTGTAAAACATTAGATTATGTTTCTGATATTTACACTTTCCTACCATATTTCATTCCCTTATAATATTAAACAAAATATAAAAGATCTTGTCCCCCTCACAGCTCAATAACTGTTCTGTGTACCAAAGGACATTAGAGAAAAACAAGGCCCAAAACATTCCGTGCAAAGGACAACCCAGTGAAAATCTCTTACAGTGCAGCAGTATTCACAAAGGATACAGGTAGGTAAATTTATAAAATGATGAAGAAATTGTTTTAGATTCAAATGTGAAACAGTCCTCAGAACCCTTCTTTGAATCCTCTCTGAAAGGGCACTTTGTCGAAAAAAAAATAAAATAAAATTCAAGCCTACTTCATCTAACTCCTTATAGCTAAAGACATGAAAATCCTGCAGTTTTCTCGTGCTTTCATTAACAGTAAACAGTAATATCACTTATCTTTTTTTACTTTTTTGTTTTTCTTCAGTAAAACAGAAAGATTTACCAACATGCTTTCTCTGTGTAGTATTCAAATCTATTTTAATAACTGTGTTGGAAGTGCACCACCCTATGAGACAGAGAATTGAATACGTCTTATCAGATAAAGTTTGTAGTCACAACCTAAGTGTAGTGAAGTGACATGAAAATTACCACCAGCTACATTACACTTCAGTGTGCTAATAGTGGTAACGCATTTTTGAAAACTGTTCTACCAATTAGAAAATTTCACTGAATCCAAGGGGATGAAGCACCTG